TTATTTTTAAAATAAGAGTAATCTGACTTTGATGATCTATGATCAAAAATGATGGCTACTACAGAGAGAAATTTTACGTTTCAATGGAAAACTGTAACTCAGCCGGGCGTGGTGGCACATGCCTGTAATTCCAGCACTTTGGGAGGCCAGGAGTTCACGACCAGGCTGGGCAACATGGGGAAACCCCATCCGTACTAAAAAAAAAAAATTAGCTGGGCATGATGGTATGTGCCTGTAGTCCCAGCTAATCAGGAGGCTGAGGAGGGAGGCTTGCTTGTACCCAGGAGATAGAGGGTGAAGTGAGTTGAGTTTGCACCATTGCACTCCAGCCTCAGTGACAGAGCCAGACCCTGTCTCAAAAATTTTTTTTAAATAAGAAAACTATAGCCCTTGAGGGTTATCAGGTTCCAGTCTTGTTTTTTGTCTTTGGGCTATTTTTACCTCTTTGTAAACTGAATCCTGCCATCTGATGAATTTTGTCCCATGATGATACTTGTGGAACAAGAAGCCAAGTATTGTCTCCCCTACTAATGTATCTATTGTCGCTTAATTTGAAGGCCTCCAAAAGAGGAAGGTTTTGCTCCCCAGAATGTATAACCAAGTTGTGACACATTCATGCAATGGAATACTATTTAGCCATAGAAAGGAACAAGCTATCAACTCACAGGAAGACACGAGTGAATCTTTCATGCACATTGTTAAGTGGACAAAGACAGTCTCAGGAGAATCCACACAGTGTGACCTCATTTAATGAGATTCTAGAGAAGGGAAACTACACAGATGGGAAGCCTTTGGCTGCCTGGGGTCGGGGTTTGAAGCATTCCATATTATACTTTAATAGTGGATACCTGCCACTATGCATTTGTCAAAACACACAGAATTTTACAGCTAAATGGGTAAATCAAATCTATTCTAATTAAATAATGTTATTCAGGATGTGCAGTATACCCACACAGAATACGTAGTCTGAAAAATAACTTAACTATGCTACAAATTACAATGGTTTGGATGTGGTTGGTCCCTGCAAAAACTCATGTTAAAATTTGACCCCCAATGTGGCAGTGTGGGGAGGTAGGGCCTAGTGGAAGGTGTTTGGATTATGATCAATCCCTCATGAATACATTAATGCCCTCCCATGGGGGTGAGTTCTGTCTGCTCTGACAGGAATGGATTAATTCCTGCAGGAGTAGATAGTTAAAAAGAGTCTGGCTTCCTTGGCTTCCCTCTTGCTGTGATCTCTGGTGCACCCCTTGCTCCCCCTTCCACTTTTCACCATGAGGTGAAAAAGACTGAGGCCCCACCAGATGCAACTGCCCAATCTCGGACATTCCAGCCACCAGTACTGTGAGCCAAATGAACCTTCTTTACCTACAAATTACCCTGCCTCAGGTATCGTGTTACAGAAGCACAAAATGGACTAAGACACAAATGTGGGAAAAAACTCACTGAAGGTGTAGGGAAAACGGTGCTGACCTAAGTCTCTTTGAAAAATGAACAGAATCTGTAGGCTGAAGGCAAATGAACTATATTTCATCATTGGATTCCATTTTATAAAGTTCTTTCCAACAGGGGTAATTGTGAACAACTGTAAAACCACAGTATCAGGCCGGGCGCGGTGGCTCACGCCTGTAATCCCAGCACTTTGGGAGGCCGAGGCGGGTGGATCACGAGGTCAAGAGATTGAGACCATCCTGGTCAACATGGTGAAACCCCGTCTCTACTAAAAATACAAAAAATTAGCTGGGCATGGTGGCGCGTGCCTGTAATCCCAGCTACTCAGGAGGCTGAGGCAGGAGAATTGCCTGAACCCAGGAGGCGGAGGCTGCGGTGAGCCGAGATCGCGCCATTGCACTCCAGCCTGGGTAACATGAGTGAAACTCCGTCTCAAAAAAAAAACAAAAACAAAAACAAACCACATTATCTGTCACTGGAATAAAACAATGAATTACATATGTCGCATATGGTAGGAACCAGGTCTCTCGCTGTTGAAGTGGGAGGTTCCAAATTAGCAAGAGGAGAAGGGTAGAAAGATTCATGTGAGAGTAGATCAGAGGTGAAGACATCAACATAAAATTATGTTTAGTTTAATACAGATACATACAGTTCTACATCAAAACCTTCCTAACTAGGTGTGTATAGGTAGGTGACACACACACATATACTTCCTCGCATTGCTAATGAGGGACAAGACACAATGTGCTCACTCAGCAGCCAGATAGAAGTTTCCCTACCATTCTGAAAGGAATCAGGCTCTTTGAAGAAATGTCTGATACTAGAACTGAGACAGTAAATATATGAGCCAGGATAATCTTGAAGTATCAGAAAGTAAGTACTAAAAAAAAAACAAAATTGGTGAGAGCTACAGGCACTCTCTTGCTAACCCTAAACCCTGACTGACACTGACCTCTTCCCCACAACCCCTCAGGTATGTCCCATTTCTGCTAAATTTTATCCTCCAAACTTCTAACCCTTAATACTCTAAATACAAAACCAACCTATAGGCAATCCCATCCCAATTTAATACTAAATTACACTAGGAAATGAAATCACAACAACAGAAAGGCATAGATCAATGTCTAACATAATTATATAATTAATAATGCTCAACAAAATAATCATAATTTGATACTAAGACATTCTGAAGGATTACAGACCATCATCGCTACATCCTTTTCTCAGAAAATCAAGCTGGTTTTGCATACTAAAGCCATCCTGCAAATAAACATCAAATACGCAGAATGAAGAAGCTGCTCAAAATTCTTTGGGGTGTTGTTAATTCAATTTGACTTCACATAAATTCTATGAGGCAGGCATTGCTATTATTGCCCTCACTTTGCAGATGAACAAACTGAGATGATGCATGGCACATAGCAGCCGCTGTTGAATTTCTTTTCCTGGCACCCTGGCTGGCAGCGATTGAAATTGAGCTTTCAAGGCTCTTAACACTTTCAAGGCCCTTAACACTTCCACGTCAAGCTTTATCGCCCTGTACAAAGTCCCTATCTCTTCACCAGCAGGACAGGGTCAGGGGTGGGAGATGCTCAGAGGACAGTAAACAAGTCTGATTCATTTGTTACCTGAACCTAGTCCAGGGCCAACCTGGCACAAGGAGGCCTCAGGAAATAAATTCAGCAAATGAACCAACACACACAGATGAACAGAAGTGGCCCACAATGAGGCTTAACAGTGACCTCGTCATCTAATCTGAAAGGAAGGCATCATGGTTTCCTGTTATGGGGAAAGAATCGGGCTACAGGGTGCATGGGGTTCTTCTCACATCATCACCCACCATAGACCTCCACATCTTGGGGCTCTCTGTACATCTGTATTTATGAGGCTCTGGTCCCTTGATCTAGAGGATTTTTTTTTTTCTTGAGACAGAGTCTCACTCTGTTACCAGGCTGGAGTGCACCGCCCAATCTTGGCTCACTGCAACCTCTGCCTCCCAGGTTCAAGGGATTCTCCTGTCTCGGCCTCCCAAGTAGCTGAGACTACAGGCGCATGCCACCACGCCCAGCTAATTTTTATGTTTTTAGTAGAGATGGGGTTTCACCATGTTGGCCAGGATGGTCTTGATCTCTTGACCTTGTGATCTGCCTGCCTCGGCCTCCCAAAGTGCTGAGCCACCATGCCGCCTAGAGGAAATTTGAGCCTTGGTTTTTTGAAGACCCAGGTTTGAGGACCTGGGTCTCAAGGGTCTCAGGTATCTGAGTCCTTAGACTCCTTGTGCCCCCATATTTGAGTCTCTGGGGTCTCCAAGGCCCTTGGACTTTGTGGGGAGGGTGGAGACCTCCAGATCCCTGTGTTTCAAGGGTACACATGGTTGTCTCCAAGTCTACTGGTTCTCTCAGCTTCTTTGGTGCCAAGAGTCCGCGTTTTTAACCCCTTTTGTCTCAAGGGCCTCAGTCTCTGAGTCTCTGGGCTCCTGGGTACAGTGAGAAGGGTCTTTGGATCCTTCCGTTTAGAGTCTGGGGTCTCCATGACCCTGGGTCCACGGACCACTGAATCAGAAGCCTGAACCTTTGGATCCCTCAGTCTTGAAACTCAGGGCCTCTGGGGTGCCCAGGGTCTCCAGATCCAGTCAAAAACACTCTAACCTGTTCTCTGTCCTCTAGTTCCACCTCCCATTCCACGTGAAAGTTGTGGGTGGGTGTCCATTTCACTGCCCGGCGTCTGTGTTACCTTTCATCACTTTCTCTCGTCATTGCCCCCGTCCTCACTACAAATCAGTGTTTTACAGGTCCCATGGGAACCACCTTCAAAATAGACCAGAAATTTACTTTCTACAGTCGTACCCACTATCCAGAGCCAACAGCATGTGCAGACACCACACCCCCAATCGCTGACATCTGACGCACGGGCGGAGTCCCTCAGCCTGCACCCGACTCCCTCTCCCAATTCGACCTGCGTACGAGCATCACCACTGCCCCACGTGCGCGCACAACTCCACTCCAATCCTCGGAGTCTGTTCTGCGCATGCGCTGTCTGCGCCTTTTACACTTGCGACCAACCCCAGCAACCCCACCTTCAATTCTCACCCACAACCCCGCCTCAAAGGGCAGAAATCATATGCCCTTATAATCCCCTTAAAATCCTGTAATAATCCCACAAGCCAGTTAATCAGAATACAACGACTTCGCTTACACAGCAACATGAACCTGCCGGTGACAGCGCGCCGCCATGGCAACAACAGTACACACAGCTCCGCGGCTCCCTGGGCCCGAGCGCAGGCGCAGAAAATAAACGGGGCAGTGCATTATGGAAGCAGCAGAAAGAGCAAGGAAAGCGTTTCTGGGAGTTGTAGGCCAAACGGGACCTCAGAGCCACGGGCGCAGAAAGCAAAGGGGGCAGTGCATTTTGGGGGCAGCAGAAAGAACAATGCAAATGTTTCTCGGAGTCGTAAACTAAGCGGAAGCCCGGAGCCATTGGCTCATCCAGCGGCGCTGCCGCATGGGATTCTGGGAGCTGTAGGCAAGGAAGTCCCAAGACCTTGTGGGAATGGTAGTCTTGGAGTAGTCACTTCCGTGCCAGGCTTCCGCGTGGTGGGCAGTGTGGACGTCCCAGCACTGCGTTCTGCCCGGGTGAGTATTTATTCCTGCGGTGAGTTGGCATGTGGACCCCGGCTCTTTGTTGCGGTGCCGTGGGAGGGTTGAAGGTCTCTACGAGCGTGAGACGCTTCTATGATTTCCCAGCGCGGTGTCCCTGAGGCCTTGTAGCCAGGATTCCCACTTTGGACGCTGCGGTCTGGCCTCTTACCGGGCCACCCCCTTCCGCAAGACAGGATATGACCATCTCCCTGTCCCCGCCCCCATGCCACATTCTTGAGTCCTTTTGACAAGGCTGCAATCCAGAGGCAACCCCGGGATCCGCGATCTCTCTTCTGGGAGCATTTATTATTCTCTCATCCTACAGATATTTACTGAGCACCGACTCTGCGCAAGTTGGGGGGGGGGGGTGTGGGCAGCAGACCAACCCTGCCCCTGCCTTGAAGAAGCAGAGAGACAGACCTGTCACCAGTGACAGCGAGTCAGGATCAGGGCCAGTATGGAGGCACACATGCAGCTCTCGGGGCCCTGGGGGAGGCGCCCGACTCAGTGACTGGGGTCCATAAAGTCTTTGAGGGAAGACGTTTAACATGCACGTCAAACTTGACATGTCCAAATGGAATTCCTGGTCTTCTCCCCTCAAAAAATGGCCCCACCATCCCCCTAGTGCTCAGGCCAGAACCTCAAAGTTACCCTTCATCACTTTCTCTCGTCATTGCCCCAGTCAGTCTGCCCGGCTTGACCCTAGGAGGCAGAGGTTGCAATGAGCCAAAATTGTGCCACTGCATTTTAGCCTGGGTGACAGAGTGAGACTCCATCTCAAAAAATTAACACTTAAAATATTTTTTAAAGAATGGAAAGAGATGGGTGCTAGGCAGGACCTGAAAACATGAAAAGGCCTCCCCAGAAGAGAATTGAGCAGAAAATCCAGGAGCACAGAGGAGGAGTGAGTCAAAAACGGGGGGAGGAAATATTCCAAGGGGTGCTGCAGCCATCTGGGAGAGAGACAGACCTGACTAGGGTGCTGTCATGGAGATGGTCAGAAGGGTTTGGCTGTTTTTAAGCCATATTCAAATAGGATTTGCTATTTCATTTAAGTACCTGGAGTTTGAAAAGGTCCGGAGTTGGCATTGCAGTTTGGTGCCACTCACTGGGAGCATGACAAGTGTAAGGAGAGAAAGAGCAGTCCAGTCTCCTGAACCCCAAAGCTTCTGGCCTGAGCAGCTGGATGGATGGAGCTGCCTTGTGCTCCAGGAGAAGCCCGTTGGGTTAGAGGAATCAGGAATTTGGGTTTGGAGATGCCTATTAGACATCTGCATGGCACTGGCCTCTGCCCTCAGAGAAGTTAGAAACAGTAAATACAGTCACATAAAATAATTCCAAACATTGTGGTAAGTCCTAGAAGCAATGTGACCTGCCTGCTCTGAATGGCAAGGAGACAAAGGCATTCGTCCAGGCTGGAGGTGATGGTGGCTTGGGGAAGGGAACTGAGCCTGGGGAGTTTTTGTGGGTTCACCAGGCAGACAGGACCAAGATTTGACTGGAGGTTTGGAGTCTTGGAGTTTGGGTGGAGAAGGATGAGGTAGGAAAGAAAACGGATGGAAGTCAGAGATGGGCTGATCCATGTCTTGATGAGGCCACATTAACTTGGGGATTCTGATACCAGAGCAGGTTTGAGTTCAATCTTGGAGACCCACATATGCTTTCATCCCCAAAACAGGTGCAACCCTAACTGGTCTCCCGAGGTGTGATCCAGGCTACCTGCGTGTTCCCTGGAGAAGGTGATCACCCTGCCTTTCACAGGATGCAATCAGAACCCACTCCTGGAGACAGTATCAAACCCTACAGAGTGAAATCAATTGTCCTTTCCTGTTTTCCACCTTCCCCTGAACACAGCTTCAATCCTCTGGCCTCCCTCTGCCCCGAGAGTCATAAATCCCTCACCTCCCAAGCTCTCTTAACAGCCCTGGTGGCCCATGCCAATGATATCTACCTTGTCTTTCTGATCTGGGCTGTAACAAGGGTGGCCTCCCTGGAGGTTGTGACAAACGGTCCTTAATATACACCCCATCCCTCTGGACAAGACACAACCTAATCTTGGGTATAACCTGTTTGTCCTCCCTCTCTTTAGCCCTGAAGCCAGATTCTTAAGCTACTTCTCTTCTTGGTGCATAATGGTGCAATCCAAGAAGCATTCCCTAAGGCAGTGGCTTTCTTACACCAGGACCCACTTATAACCGTCCTGTCTCCAGTGCTAGAAGAAGCCACTCCACTCGCGCACAAGTCTCCCTGGTCTATTCCGGCCAGAGGTGCAATCCTGACAATCTCCCTGAAGGCAAGGACCCTGCAATCCGGAATCCACACGTAACCCACCTCCTCTCTCTCCCTGTTTAGGAGAAGCCGACGCCTCCCGCAATGCCCGCCCCACCGTGTACCTCCTGCCACGCGGCACGAGCTGCCCTCCGCCGTCCACGCTCCGGCCAAGCGCTGTGCGGTGCCTGCTTCTGCTCAGCCTTTGAGGCCGAGGTGCTGCACACGGTGCTCGCGGGCCGCCTGCTGCCGCCTGGTGCAGTGGTGGCTGTGGGCGCCTCGGGCGGCAAGGACTCCACCGTGCTGGCGCACGTGCTGCGCGGGCTGGCGCCGCGCCTGGGCATCTCACTGCAGCTCGTGGCCGTCGACGAGGGCATTGGCGGCTACCGGGACGCGGCGCTGGCGGCCGTGCGGCGCCAGGCGGCGCGCTGGGAACTGCCGCTCACCGTCGTAGCCTACGAAGACCTCTTCGGGGGCTGGACAATGGATGCGGTGGCCCGCAGCACAGCTGGCTCCGGCCGCAGCCGCTCCTGCTGCACCTTCTGTGGGGTGCTGCGTCGCCGGGCGCTGGAGGAAGGGGCACGCCGCGTGGGAGCCACGCACATCGTGACGGGTGAGCGCAGGCGCAGCCGCGGAGCGGCGTGCTCAGAGGCAGTGGGGCGCATGCACGGGCCAGGGGGCGGGGCCTGAAAGGGGACTCATGCGCATGCTCCAGGGGCGTGGGAGGAGACGTTAGGCGTGGCTTAACGGGAGGATCCCACTAAGGAGATGTGAAAGCGCGCATGCTCCAGTTTGGGGCTGGAGCCCTGTGAAGGTTCTAGACGCTGGACCGAGGGGCCAGGCAGGGATCATGAAGGTTTTTGGGTCTTGGCCACAGTCTTGGTTTGCAGAGATTGCCAAACGGGTGGGAGGTGAAAGTCTCCGGAGATTAGATCTCTGGTTCTTCGCTTATTTTTAAGTGTTTCTAACATGTTTCATCTCTTATGGTCCACCTCTCAGAATCCAGCTCTGTCTCTAAAAAGCATCTCTGCCTCTTAATTCCTTTTCTTTGTTGGTCGCTCCTTTCTTTGTAAGTTTTTTTATTCTCTCTCTTTCATCCATTCCTTCAACAAACAGATGCTGAGTTTCTGCTATATGCCGGATCCCATGTGGCCAAAGTTCTTAACTACTCTGTACTTCTGTTTCTCTCCATCCTTGAAACAGGAATATGAATGGTACCCAGCTCATAAACTTGTTATTACAATTAGAAGAGTCTATTTAGTAGAAGTATAATATCTATTTTATAGTTACGTTACATAACCTGTATGATATAGTATAGATTACACATTTTATACGTGCTATATTATCACCATCGTTGTCGGGCTAGGACTGAGAATACACTTACACACAAGTTCCTACCTTTGCATGGTTATCAAGTACAAAATTATAAACACTATACACGTTACTGACCATGTATGGACATGTTAAGGACCATGTGTACACACAGAGAACCCTATGATCTGGAAGGAGTGGGGTCAGGGAACTATTTTGAAATCTGAAGGCTCACAGTGAAGAGGTAAAGGGGGTAGAATTGGGGAGAGGTTTTTGGCCTGTACAAAAGCCAATTTGGGCTGCCCCAAGAAGTCCAGTGTGGCTGGATCCCAGAAAGCAAGGGCAGGGGAGGCTGGAGAGGTGGAAGAGGTCAGGCCTTACCCTGTAGGCTGTGGTGGAACCAGTAAAAGTGACAAGAAGGGAGTTTCACTTTGAAAAGCTCACCCAGGCCATGGTGAGGAACCTGGGTTGGAGGGGCAGGGACAAAGCCAAGGAGACCAGTCAGTGGGGGGCCAGCTGCAGTCACAGAGGTGAGAGTGGTGGTTGGAGAGAATCAGCACATTCAAAGGGAATGAAGGCAAAGTCGTTCTGAGTCTGTCATCTGCCACCGTGCTAGGGCATCGGCTCTGGGGAAGGCTTACTGAGCTTCAATGACTGGTGTGGCCTTTTCCCTACTGAATAACTTTGGAGAAATCCCTAGATCTCTGTGATTGAAAATGGGAACAATAATCCTTTCCATACAAGAGCAGTATATGGAAAGAATGAGAGGCTTGGGTCGGGCACCGTGGCTCACGCCTGTAATCCGAGCACTTTGGGAGGCCGAGGCGGGTGGATCACGAGGTCAAGAGTTCGAGACCAGCATGGCCAACGTGGTGAAACCCCATCTCTACTAAGAATACGAAAATTACCCGAGCATGGTGGCTGGCCCGTGTAATACCAGCTACTTGGGAGGCTGAGGCAGGAGGACTGCTTGAACCCAGGAGGCCGAGGTTGCAGTGAGCCGAGATCACGCCACTGCAACTCCAGCTTGGGCAACAGAGCAAGACTCCATCTCGGGGGCAGGGGGTACGGGGGGCGGGGGGAAAAGAATGAGAGGCTGCCTCAGGTTTTAAAGTTAATTTGATAGAATCACTTAGTAATTGTACTTCTAAAAGTAATGAGGGCTTCCAGAAAAATCCCTAACTTGGAAGGTGATTTTTCCCTTTGTTTATACACTATTATCAAAGGCATAGTATAATGATTGTTGTAATAATTATTACAAAATCGGGAGCTCCTAAGTGGGTTTGTAATGACAAGGTGTGGAGTAAATCCAGTCTCTCCTAATGAATGTGGTTTACAACTTTAAGTCAATAGTAAACGTTTAACCAGATGTCATTTCCAGTAGCAAACATGCTAATCTCAAGGTCACAGGGCTTGGCAGTTCTTTGGAAGGTAACCATTACTACAAACACAATTAGAGCTAAGTTCTTGGAGGATTTTTACCATATAGACCAGCGTCTCTCAACTTCGGCCCTATTGACATTTGGGGCCAGATAGTTTGTTGTTAGGGAGCTGTCCTCTGCGATGCAGGATTTTAGCAGCATCCCTGGCCTCTACCCATTAGACGCTATTTAATAGTAACACCACCACCCCAGCCTGACAACCAGAAATGTCTCCAGCCATTGCCAAATGTCTCAGGGGGAGGGAAGGAGAGAGGAATCATCCCAGATTAAGCACTGATACAGACTCAAGTATAACTTGACAAGACACAGAACAAGTACAGCTTCAATTTCATGGTGACCAGTGTGTAAATATTTCTCACTGTTATTTCTAAACAAAGATAACAAAAACACTGCAGTGGTTACAGGTGTGGTGGTTCATGCCAGTAATCCCAGCCACTCTGGGAGGCGGAGGATCACTTGAGCTCAGGAGTTCAAGACCAGCTTGGCCAACATGGAGAAACTCCATCTGTACAGAAATGCAAAAATTAGCCGGGCATGGTGGCGTGCACCTGTGGTCCCAGCTACTCTGGAGGCTGAGGGCAGGGATCACTTAAGCCTGGGAGACAGAGGTTGCAGTGAGCTGAGGTCGAGCCACTGTACTACAGCCTGGGCACTAAAGCAAGACACACACACACACACACACACACACACACACACTCTCACTGAAAAAAACATAAACTACAGTCTGTTTTGTCAGAGGCCCGGTGTCATTTGTTTTCTCTAGCTGCTATAACAAATTACTTAAAATTTAACAGCTTTAAACAACACAGATTTATTATCTTGCATTTCTGGAGATTCGAAGTCTGGCAAGTCTCACCGGGCTAAAATCGAAGTGTCAACAGTGCCGAGCTTCTCCTGGAGGCACTTGGGCCAGGGGGTCCATTTCCTTGCCTTTTCCAGCTTCCGGAGGCTGCCCACATTCCTGGCTCATGGCCTCTTCCTCTATTGTCTTGTCTTTTTTTTTTCTTTTGAAACAGAGTCTTGCTTTGTTGCCTAGGCTGGAGTGCAGTGGCGCAATCTTGGCTCACTGCAACCTCTGCCTCCTGGGTTCAATAGATTCTCATGCCTCAACCTCCCAAGTAGCTGGGGTTACAGGTGCCCACCATCACGCCCTGCTAATTTTTGTATTTTTAGTAGAGATGGGGTTTCGCCATGTTGGCCAGGCTGGTCTCAAACTCCTGGCCTCAGGTGATCCTCCCGCTTCGGCCTCCCAAAGTGCTGGGATTACAAGCGTGAGCCACTGTGCCCAGCTCTTCCTCTATTTTCAAAGCTAAGGATGGCAGGTTGAGTCCTACTCTGTTTGCGTCACTCTAACCTTGCCTCTGCCCTCACAACCCCATATTCAGTAGGCGGGTGGCAAATGAGGTACCCCCAAGTTCCCCAGGGAGCTTGTGTGTGTTACCCTCTTGATTCCTGCTGTGTCCACCTCCAGGCTCCACCTGGCTGTCCCACAGTGCCCAGGGGGGCTCCATGGCCCTGTCTCCCTCTCCTGGACTCCGGGTCCTTGTGCCCTATGGTGCCCAGGGGAGCTCCATGGCTCAGGCTCCCCCTTTCCCTCTCTCTCTCTGGGTCCTGGCTGCCCTCTATGTTCAAACGTCTCCTTGGTCCTATCTCTCCCTCTTCTGCCTCCCTCCACTCTAAGGGTCTTTGTGATTACATGGAGCACACCTGGATAATCTGCCATACTCTCCCTAAAGTCGGTTGATTAGCAGCCCCAATTCAACCTGCAACCTTAATTCCCCTTTGCCTGACAGCCAAACATATCCATAGGTTCCCAAAATTAGGCCATGGACACCCTAGGCGGTGGGGGAGAGGGCAGCCTGCCTACCACACCAGTTCTGTTGAGAATCTCTGTTAAATGTCTTAAATACCATTCTGATTTTTGTGTACAGTCTGAATTACAGTTTTAACTGAGGATGATAAGGTTATTAGCAGCATAATGCACTTTTACTCCCTATAGAAAAGGGCAACTAGCATAAGGTCCGCTCCGCAGTAGGTGGGTGGTCCATGAGGCGCCCCCCCAAGTTGCGCCAGGTGAGCTTATGTTTCTCTGGTTTTTTTTTGTTGTGTACATCTCCGGCCTGCACCTGGCTGCCTCACGGTTCCCCAGGGGTCTCCATGGCTCTCTTTCCCCTCCCTGTCTCTGGATCCTGGCTGTCACACGTTTTTCAGGGGTCTCCATGGCTCCCTCTCCCCCTCGCCATCTCTTCTGGGTCCTGACGGTCCCACTGTGCCCTGGGTCTCCATGGGTCTCCCTCCCAGTCTCCCTCTGGGTCCTCATGGACCCTTGGTTCCCCGGGGGGCTCCCTGACCAGCAGCGCCCTCCGCGCCCCGGCTCACCCGCTCCCGTCTCTCCCCACCAGGTCACAACGCAGACGACATGGCGGAGACCGTGCTCATGAACTTCCTGCGGGGCGACACGGGGCGGCTGGCCCGGGGCGGGGGCCTGGGCTCCCCGGGCGAGGGGGGCGCCCTGCCGCGCTGCCGCCCGCTGCAGTTCGCGTCGCAGAAGGAGGTGGTGCTGTACGCGCACTTCCGCCGCCTGGACTACTTCTCCGAGGAGTGCGTCTACGCGCCCGAGGCCTTCCGCGGCCACGCCCGGGACCTGCTCAAGCGCCTGGAGGCGGCGCGGCCGTCGGCGGTGCTGGACCTCGTGCACTCCGCCGAGCGCCTGGCGCTGGCCGCGTCCGCTCGGCCCCCGCGCCCCGGCGCCTGCTCCCGCTGCGGGGCTCTGGCCAGCCGCGCGCTCTGCCAGGCCTGCGCGCTCCTGGACGGCCTGAACCGCGGCCGGCCCCGCCTGGCCATCGGCAAGGGCCGCCGGGGGCTGGACGAGCAGGCGACGCCGGGGACGCCCGGGGATCCGGCCCAGACCCCTACCCCAAAGGCCGTCCCCACCTTCTAGCGACTCCGGACCTCCCGCTGGGATCTGACGCCCCCCCCGGGGTGGGGACTGCCTGTAAATGACACTGTGAATAAACCCCCATTACCTTGCCCGGCCTTCCATGTGAGGTTGGCAGGGGGACGAGGCCCTGGTGACCTGAAATCCTGAAGAAACTGGGACCCCCAGACTTCGGGGTCTCAGGGAGGAAGGGTCTCACGCTGGGTTTCTGGCTCTGAGGGAGGAGGGGGCTGGGGGCTCATCCTGGGTCTGAGAGGAGTGCTAGGCCTAGAGGAAGTGGGCTGGGGTCCTCAGGCATCTGCACCTGAGGAAGGAGGGCCTGGGGTCGTGGACTCCTGGGTCTCACGGGGAAGGGGGCTGAACACCTTGTGATTCCCGAGCAAGTGGGGGTAGGTTGGGGACCACCTGCCTCGTGCCTCTGCTGGTTCTGGGCGCGATCAGCATGATCCTGACCCTCCTTGAGCACCAGATTCCTGATGTTTCCTGTTTGCCCACAGTGGGGTAAGCAGAGTGACATGAATTGATGGACACACACCATTCACAGCCCCCGTCATGCTGCCTCCCTTACAGCGCTTCGTGCGCAGCACGCACTGCGCTCTCATTTGGTCTCCAGCACGGCCTCACTGGCTTTAGCCTGAGGCGGTAAATGGCCCCAAGACAGCCAGCCGGAAGGGGTCAAATCGAGGGCTCCCTCCAGAGCTCTCAAAGGTTGAAGGTCATGGAATGGGCCCTCCCCCACCTATCCCCTCCGGAATCTCTCCTGGTATCTCTGTCATGGGTGAGGAGGGGTTGGGTGGGCTCCCAAACCTAGGACTCTGGAGGCAGGGTTGTGTGAGCCTATGTCAGTGACTTAGCCTCTGATCTTCCATTTCTCTGAAAATGGAGTCAGTCCCCTCCCCCGCCCCAATTAAGGCACCACTGGGAGGAAGTGGAAGATCAGAGAAGGTGCTGAATAAATGGTGAGCACTTAGACCTGGTTGTTCATGTTACTGTCTGGCCACACCAGGGGGCGCTGGGTTTCAGGGTTGCTGCCCTGTAGGTACGGGGAGGTTGTGAGGGTCTCAAGCTCCCTGGGGAGATGGTGCTCTCCTTCCCACCTCCAGGACTTGCTGGGCTGGCTTCTTGTCAGAAATGTCCCTTCTTCCCATCGCCCAGCTCAGATCCTCCAGGGTCCTCCTAGAAGGCTTCTCACTTCTGTCCTCCCACCACTCAACCCAGGGCTTAGTAGTCTCCCAAACCCCTGCTTCTCAGTCCTGTCCTCACCCTGTGGCCACCCAAACTTGGGCTGGAGGGCAAGGACCGGATTATTCACTGAAAACATGTATGAGCACCTCCTTTGCATCAGGCATTCGTCTGGGTTCTAGGAACATGGCAGTGAACAGAAGACAAGGCTCCTGCCCTCATGAAGTTCAGTCTGGGAGAAGTGGACAGTAAGCACATCAATATATAATGTCAGGTAGTGATGAAGGCTACAGATTATAGATGGTGAGAGAAAGAAACAGGAAGAGCTCATTTCCATAGGAGTCAGGGAAGGAAGGGCCTTGGAGGAAGTGATGTTATGCGCAGACCTGCAGAAGCAAAAACCAATCATGGGGCCCTTTGGGGGAAGAGCTTTCCTGGTGGAGGGAACTGCCAGTGCAAAAGCCCGGAGGTAGGAATAAACTTGCAAGTGCAGGGAACAGCAACTACAGTGTGGCGGGAACAGAGTGGGTGAGGAAGAGGCGAGATGAGGCAGTAAGCAGAGGTGGGTCATGCATGGCCTTGTGTTGGTGAGAAAGACTTGTATTTTAAGAGTGATGGTAGGTCTTTGGAGGGCTTTGGACCCAGCAGTGGGTCCAATTTCCATTTTCTAAAAGCTACTCCAGCTGCTGTAAGGAGAATGCACTGTAGGGGGTGCAAGATGACCGAGTTCAGTTGTGCAGGATGCTGCTTGTGTGCCTGTCCTGGTACCAAGTGTGCCTTCCTCATTAGCTCATGACATGAGGAATGGGTTTTCAGCACCGAGTTTTTTAAATTGGTACATAGAAGGATCTAAAAGTTTATTTTTTGTATTATTTTATTTTTTCCCTGAGTTATTGGGGTACAGGTGGTATTTGGTTACATGAGTAAGTTCTTTTTCTTTTTTTTTTTTTTGAGATGGAGTTTCGTTCTTGTTACCCAGGCTGGAGTGCAATGGCGCAATCTCGGCTCACTGCAACCTCCACCTCCTGGGTTCAAGCAATTCTGCTGCCTCGGCCTCCCAAGTAGCTGGGATTACAGGCATGCGCCACCATGCCCAGCTAATTTTTTGTATTTTTAGTAGAGACGGGGTTTCACCCTGTAGACCAAGATGGTCTCAATCTCTTGACCTTGTGATCCACCCGCCTCGGCCTCCCAAAGTGCTGGGTTTATAGGCGTGAGCCACTGCGCCTGGCCACATGAGTAAGTTCTTTAGTGGAGATTTGTGAGATTTTGGTGCACCCATCACCTGACCATAGACACTGCACCATATTTGTTGTCTTTTATCCCTCACTCCCCTCTCACTCCTTCCTACAAGTCCCCAAAATCCATTGTATCATTCTTATAAGCCTTTGGATCCTCATAGCTTAGCTCCCACATATCAGTGAGAACATACAATGGTTGGTTTTCATTCCTGAGTTACTTCACTTAGAATAATAGTCTCCAGTCTCATCCAGGTCATTGCAAATGCTGTTAA